AATATATTTCATCAATGATGATTCATGATCAAGCCATTTGATTTTATCATGAATTTCAGGTAAAATTTGTAAACAAAATCGTTTAAGGATTGTATCACGAGAAATTAAATTGATAAAATTATGTGAGAACCATTTAACGAAAGTCAAGCCACTTGTAAAAATTGGATCGTGAATAATTTGATTTAGTCGTTGATTGACAGCTTGTAAAGAATAAAGTACATCTAGATTATTGAATTTTTTGAAAATAATCATAAGAATTTCATCAGGTAAATCATTTAATCCAATGCATGAATATTCCATGTTTATTTTTCACTTGTTTGCTCTTTTCATTCTATGAATGTCAATTTTTATATGCATACGCTCATCTATTCTATTTGACTCATATCATCAATATAAACAATAGTACAATTTTTCTCTAGTCAAAATTATTAATGAATTAAAAGAATAAATGAATGAATGAGCATTGCTATTTTTTTTTTCATTTGTCTAATATATATAAACATTCTCTACTCATTTGAAAAAGCGAATCTAGAAGGTACAGGATAGATTCTAAAACACAGTTTATTTGAAATTTCATATTCATGTATAAGAGTAATTATTTCTTCATTTATATTTTCATATTTCAGCATGCTGCTATCGAAAACTAGATTGGCTATTGTTTTTTTGTTACAAAACTCCTGAGAAAGCTGATAAATTATCTTGAAGAGATATCATTTAGCTTTCAAAAAAAAAAAGTTTTCTAAGTTTGTCAGTTATTTTAAAATTAAATGTATGAAGTAGAAATCAGTGATCCTTTTAGATCGTATTACTGATGCCAGTTTTTTTAGTGATAACTTCATCCAAAAAAAGTCTCGAAGACTGAGTTTTTCAGAATCTATTGAATAATTTAACATATAGAGTATCCGAAAAGTCATTAGAGTTAGAGAAATTTAAATATCGTTATCATTCTTCAACTAAAATGAGTTGAATTGTTTTATGAGAGTAGAGGGGAGACAGAAATTTTTGCCCATAAAGAAACAGTTCATTTATGATCATGAAATCAGCAAACATTTGTTCGCTATGTAAATGGACTACATACAAATGTTTGCTGCTCATAGCTATAATCTGATACTGTAGAATATTCTTTTATTTATTTATCATGCAATATAGGGTGTTCCAAAAGTCATGTCCACTTAAGAAATGCGTATAACTCCATTACTAAACAAGTTGAATCTAATACTTTTTTTTTATTTGTAAGTGGCGAATATAAAGTTTTTTTTTTGTTGAATACAAATTTCATTAATACCTTGAAACAATATTGTCTTTATCTGCAACGCAAAAATGCAAGCATTTTATACTTTCTAACAAAACATCAAATAACGTCCATTTTCTGTTTTTTTTTCATTTCTTTGATTTTTTTAAAATTTTAAATCGATCACTTGTTTTTCTGTTGTTTTCAAGATATTTGGTTTGAGATGTTTCTATAAACAGGAGTTCAACAGTCTCAGCTACGATACTTGAGGAACCTATGAAATGAATTTACTTTTGCTAAATGATCGGCCGTGAAAGGTTTCGTTAAGCTAGTACAAATCGTTTTCTAAAAATATAGTGTTGGGCTCATCGCGTCAGTATTTGTCATGAATTAAATCTTTTATCTGCTCAGATTGAAGAATTTGACAATCAGATCCCGTCGGATATGCTTGGGATCCGATGGAATCTTGTTGAAATCATACCTGAATATTAGACCTTGTTTGATCTTCCTTTACTTTCTTTCTCTTGTGCAATTAGGTGTAAATTAATATCTTAAATCCAATTTACTTCAACTTATTATTATTTTCAACTGTTGAATAATAAATTTAATACAAAGTACAATAAAATAAACTACAATAAAAGTTTTAAAAAAATATAATAAAAATTTAAAAAATTAAATTAAATTAAAATTGAAAAAAATAAAATAAAAGTGAAACACAATAAAGTAAATTAGAAAAAATACCATAAAATAAAAAACAACAAAATGATAATGAAAATAAGTAAACTAAAATAAAAATTAAGTTAAATTCACATAAACCCAAAATAAAATAAAATGCCATAAAGTAAAAAACAATAAAATGAAAATAAAATAAAATAACATTAAATATAAAATTTATACTCGCTTTTGACTGACTTCATGCCGTAATAAAGTCTAAAACAAAATAAGATAAAATGAAACAAAAAACAATAAAAAAAAACAATTTTAATTAAATTCAAATAAAACTAAAAGAAAAGAAAATTTATACTCACTCTGAATTCACTTCATGCCGTAATAAAGCCTAAAATAAAGTACGATCAAGTAAAACACCAAACAATAAAATAAAGATAAAATAAAATCAAAAACTCATATTCATTGTTACTTGATTTCATTCCCCATCAAAATCTGAAACAAAAGAAAATAAAATACGGTAAAAAACAACAAAGTAAAAATTAAGTTAAATTTAACTAAAATAAAACTAAAATAAAATAAAACAAAATAAGTAAATAAAATACATTAAATAAAAAGCGATCCTTTTCTACTACAGCGCCTCTAGGGATTTGATTGGTTACAGAACGAGCAAATGTAAAAGTATCTAAAATAAAATAAGTACAATAAAATACAATAAAATAAAAAAAATATATAATAATGAAATAACCGTAGATTAATAATAATAGATAAAAAAAATTATTTTTATTTTTTGTTTTCCTTAATTTTCGATCATATTGTTGGGACGTTCATCAGAATAATATATAATAACATAAATTGGATCAAGTCGAAAAGACAAAAATAAAATAGGTTTTTTTGATTTACTGTTATTCATTTATGACTTTTTTCATTATTATAATGAGATCACAAATTCTATTCTTACATAAAATAGTCATTTATTCAATATCGTATTATATGTTTCGACGCTATTGCTGCACAATGATTCATAAAATATACATATTATAGTAGATATTTAACATGATGATTCATTGCTCTATTTAGAGATACATTTGTTTGTTCTACATGAATAATCAAAAGCCCAATTATTATTATTATAAATTTTGATTCATGTCCTGATCGACTTAGCCCTTTCAATCTTGATAATCTGTTGCGTTCTGCACACACACAAAAAAAAATAGCTGAATCTCTCTCTCTCTTGCTTTCTGTCGTCACAATCACTTGCGCTTGAAACCTTGCATCATTATTCGTAGTCATAAGAAATGCTTTATTTCAAAACGCATTGTATGATATCCGTCGTCTAAGAAGACGATAGAACGCTAAATATTTCTTTTGCATTCTGTATATCATCTCGTAGATAATATGCCGGATTGAAAGAGTTGATTGTAACATATATGATTTAGTTTACATCTTATAAATTGACCTGAAGACGATAGAAATAACATGATCGAGAATCCAACAAAAAGAAAAACCAAAATAAGTTTTTTCATTTATTGTTATTTATTTATCCATTGTTCATTATTAGAATGAAGTCGAAAGCTTTTCTTTTCGACTAAGATACTCGTTTATATAATGTCGTGCTGTCTTTTGATATTCTGGTTGCACATTCATTTTAAATATAAATCAAATATGTTTTATCGATATTTTATTGGCATTAAAAAATATGAATAGTAGAAAAAAAAATGGAATAGGAAAAAGTAAGAAGTATATACGGTGAGAAGAGAGAAAAATTTTCAAGAATAAAAATAAAAGAAGACAATTAGTTAAAATAAATAGACGTAGAGAACTAACTAAAAGAGAATGTCTGTAGGTTTTGATGATGATGGACGACACCATACTACTTCTAAATGTGTGATGTTGCGTTTGTATAGTTTGTTCTACAAAAAAAAATAAAGTTCTTTGTACAACCCCTACGGGATTAAAATCAGTACTATGTTATTAAGACATACCTAATTTAAACATTCTATTCAAATATTCTGCTTGCTTCAAAGGAACGATAACCAACTTCGAGGCATCAACACACGCCCCATGTTCAATCAATAATTCCCACGTAAGCTTATTTCAAATATTTTGCTCAATTCACAGCAAAGATTTCGAGTTGATTATCTCAACCATAAACACACGAAAAATAAATCATTCTTCCAAAGATTCTTTCAAATATTTTCCTTCATTCACCGCGAAGACTTCGAGTTGATTAAATCAACGATGAACACATGAGAAATGAATCATTCTTGCCAAGATTCTTTCACCTATTTTGCTCAGTTCAAAGCAAACACTTGAAGTAAATTACATTAACTATGAACACACGACAGGTAAATAATTCTTTTAAAGATTCTTTCAAATATTTTCCTCAGTTTCAAGCAAACATTTCAAGTTGATTACATGAACTATGAACATGCGACAAATGAATAATTCTCAGCAAATATTCCATCAAATTTTTTGCTCAATTCAAACTAAAGACTTGGAATGAATTACATGAACTATGAACACACGACAAATGAATAATTCTCAACAAAAATTCCTTCAAACATATTGCTCAATCGAATACAAAGACTTCCAGTTGATTACATCAACAGTGAACATACGACAAATGAAAAATTCTCCAAAAGCTTCTTTGAAATATTCTGCTCAATTCAAAACAAACATTTGGAGTGGATTATATCAACAGCAAAACCATGACCAATGAATAATTCCTTCGACGATTCTTTCACCTATTTTCCTCAATTCCAAGCGAAGATTTCGAGTTAATTACATCAACTACGAATACACAGCAAATGAAAAATTCTTCCAAAGATTCTTTCAAACATTTTCCTCCATTCAAAGCAAAGCCTTGGAGTTGGTTGCATCAACTATAAACACCGGACATATGAAAAATTCTTTTAAAGATGCTTTCAACTATTTCCCTCAGTTTAAAGCAAACGTGTCAAGTTGATTACATGCACTATGAACGCACGACAAATGAATAATTCTCAACAAAGATTCTTTCCAATATTTTGCTCAATTCAAAGCAAAGACCTGCAGTGGATTACATCAAGTATAAACACAGCAGAAATGAATAATTCACAACCAACATTCCTTCAAACATTTTGCTCAATTCAAAACAAGCATTTGGAGTTAATTACATGATCTATGAACACACGGCAAATGAATAATTCTATTAAAGATCCGTTCAAATATTTTGCTCAATTCAAAGCAAAGATTTGGAGTTGATTACATTAACAATCAACACACGACAAATGAATAATTCTCCAAAAGATTCTTTCAAATACTTTGCTCAATTCAAAGCAAAGATTTGGAGTTGATTACATGAACTATCAATACACGACAAATGAATAATTCTCATTAAATATTCCTTCAAATATTTTGC